CAACAAAGGGAAATCGTAATAATGAATCACAATAATGATAACAATAATAATAATAATAATGATAACGATTAAACGATAATGAACGTTTACCCTAGTATTAACTCTAACGCTAATACTATGAATAATGGTAACGATAACGATTACTACTAATTATTAAATTACTGGTAAAAAAAAAAAAAAATAGTAATATCGATAAAAAGAGTAATAATAAAAATAAAATAAATAATAATAACGATAATAATAATTAACGATAATATTGCTATTAATAATAATTAATAATAATTATAGTGATAATTTAATAAACGATAATCGTGTCCATTGCCTGTCGCGAGAGGAAAACGATGCATTAAAAATAAACCGGGTACCTATAAAGTGACGTGCCTTTGAGACTCTACGAAGTTCCGTCCGTGGGACTTCCGGTTCCGCGGATGTGACCGTGTATTGCGCGTTTCGAGGGAAACTCGAGTCCTTCGGCAATCGCGATCGCTCGATCTTTAAGACACCTGGCAACGAACCTTCCGAGTTTCGAGTCGTGGACCTACCACCTATAGATCGTAGATAGGCAACGCAAGCGATTACCGATAAAATAATATGGGAAGAAAGTGAAATTGGCGCGTCTGTATGTGAGTGAAAGAGAGAGAGAGAGAGAGAGAAAAGCGTTAGACGAAAAATGAGAGAGAGAGAGATATAATGATCTGGGAAACGATAAGGAAAATAATAGCCGATGATTACGAGTGAATAATATCCTTTTTGTTAAATATGATAAAGGAGGCATATAAGAGAAAGCGATAAATTGTATTTTGGAACGATTTAATCGACGGGCGGGTCTAGGGGAAGAGTAACAGGAAATAAAAAACAAAAAAAAAATAAGAAAAATAAACAATGTCCATGTTGCTAAATATATTAGCGGTGAGGTAGTTTGCATATAGTGACGTGTTAGTTTATATATATAGTCTTTAGTGCGAAATAAATCGGGTGCAATGAGAAAAAAAACACTGTCATATGGTATATAAGAGTGAGTGAGTGAATGAGAGAGAGAGAGAAAGCAAGTCGAAGAGAACATGAGAATAACCGCGAAAGAGAATACGAACGAAAAGCATCGCGTGGAAAATGCGTTAATGTATTACATCGGAAAAATATCGAGAAAAATGTCGTACACCATACACGAAATACACATACATATACACACACACACATATATACACATATACAGACACAAAGGACGTAAATAAGTGACATATATACAATGAAGCACGAAGAGGAAGAGGAAGAGGAAGGCATAGCGAGAAACGATAGAAAGAGCGAGAGAGAGAGGGGGAGTAAGTAATGAGCGAAGATAAAGGGAGATGCAGCGAAAACACACGAGACACACGAAGCATAGTAGTCACGTAGATCAAAGTTAGAATACATAGAATTTTAGGTGAAGTTATCGAGCCCGTTCCTTCGTATTAGATATGGTAGTATTAGACATGCCAGGCACGCCTCGAAACGAGGACCCGTGGACTGTGTGTATATACCTATAGTGATTAGGTAGAAAAGATCCTTTTGTTTCTCGTCGAGCAGAGCGAAGAGGAAAAGGAAAAAGGAAAAAGAAGAGGATATAAAAGAAAAAATCGCTTCCTCGAGCTGTTCGTTCTCCTCAAACTCATTCCATGCTGCGTTTCGTTCGCGACTTTTTCCAAATCGATCTTTCTCGTCCGCGAGACGAAAGCGCAGATGAAAGTCGAGTTTTCGAAGCAATAAAAAGATAAAGGGAAAGGAATAAAAAGAGAGAGAAGAAAGGACACGACGGAAACGCGTTCGGAATCCACATGGCGAATCGATATCGCGTAGCGTGTATTCGTAGAAGCGGCGTTGAGTCAACGATGGAAAGAAGAAATAGCGAATATCGTAATTGGAACGCACAATGGAAGAAGAAAACGAAGAAGAGAGAAGTCAACGGAGCGACGAACGAAAAATAACTAAGAGAAGGGGGGAAAAAATAAGTTCGTGCCCATTGTAGTCGCGCATAAATTATTATAAATATAAAAAGCATTGATATTGTCGAGTATACATACCTCTTCTGTACATATAGTTGAAAACGGCAAACGAGAATAACGAGCGTAACGGTTCAGTCGCAATCATATTGGATAATATGGGAAAACGAGTGAGCACGAGTTTGAGTGTTGTGTATCGTCCTTTCTTTCTTTTTTTTCTGCGAATCGATCGATTCGGTTGCGAATCACCAACAACAGGTATATAACCGTAATGTAATTATATTATGATGTACGATGTAACGGTATGATACCGACGATACCGTAATATACATATTATAAATACAATTTCATAGAACACGAAGGATCGTTATAGCGAAGGCGAGCGAGGTGATTTTCTATTATTGCTATGGTTATTATAACATTATATATATCTCGTCATTACGGTTCTTACGATGATCGCTGCGACGACGACGACGACGACGACAACGACGACGACGACGACGACGACGACGACGACGACGACGACGACGACGATGATGATTATGATCACTCAAACGCGGATGAGAGAGAGCGAGAGAGCGAAAGGAAGAGAGAGAAAGAGCGAGTGTGTGGGCATGTTAATAGCCGAGCGTCGAGTATGTAGCGTTGAAAAAATAATCAATCAATTCTTCCCAGAGGAAGATCGTCGAGTGAGGCGTGTATCGTTCGCGTGCTCGTCGGCCGAGTATCGCAGGGGAGGAACAGGTATCCGTCGAGCAGCAACGTTTTAAGTCCGCGCGTGCACGGATCTTTAATTGTAAGTAGGTGTAGATTGACGCGAGCAACAAGGGGTTCCTAACGCAATTTTGTCCGGACGGTTCGCGAACGTCCAAGGGAGAGCGTACGAGGAGCGATTTTTTTTTTTACGAAGAGAACAGATTGGTAAAGGATGGAAAAAAAAGAGGAAGGAAAGAGAGAGAGAGAGAGAGAGAGAGAGAGAGAGAGAGAGAGAGAGAGAGAGAGAGAGTACGCG